TGCTCCTAGTGTGCTTTATTGTACTATTCAAGGTTCCAGATGCTGCAATTTCAGCCAAGAAATGACCAGGTTAAAGTTTTTGGAGCAGATTAAAGTTTTTGTTGCAGGTTAAAGTCTTTGGTGCAGGGTAAAGTTTTTGGTGCAGGTCTCATTTCCAAGTAACTATATTCTCTATGTACTGGTACTAGTATAGAGTTTATATTTATTAAATAAACTTTCTTCTACTTAGAAGTTTTACAGTTACATGTGTATAAAGCGTGTTTTATATAAACATGTGCATGTTTAGCACTCTCAATGAAGAATATTTTCATTCTGTATTAAAATCATCATGTGTTCATTAAAATCATGTTTTACTCTACAGATAACTTTTGATTATATAATTCTTGACTATGGTCAGTGGTACACTTAATAATCAATGCCCTATATCATGGACAAGTGCATGAAAGTTTACAAGACCTGTTTAGTTTGTATTACTTGTGAAGATTTCTACGAATTACGAGGGACGTTCAACAAATAATGCCATTGGGGCTCGGAAAGAAATAAAAAACGCTTTTCTATTATTTAGTCTTAATGATTTAACTAGAATATTCTCTTTTTAATTAAAACACTTGTCTGTAACATTTTAATTCAATTTCTTATTGTTTTTAGAACACATTTTTAGTATGACCCTTCGTATACTGGAATATGGCAGATCCTACATATGATTTGCTGTACTTGTTTTTGTCTTTTTGATAGATGTTCTTTTAAGTTTGGGAAGTGAAACAAGTCAAAGGTTGAAAGATCTGGCAAATTTTGTTGGTGCGACAAAACATTAATGTTCTATTTATCCCCAAAACTCCTTAATACTCTTCATGGCCTGTGGGTTTGGATGCTGCCATGAAGAAATTTAATGTAGTGAATTCCTCATACCGTTTTCTTTCTTTCATAAACCTTTAAATTTTTTTGCAAAAAATTGTTTTCTAGAAACCTCCAGAAGTTGAACTTCCTCCCCGAATATGAATTTAAACACCAAGACCGCTAATATTTAAGAAAATAGCATATAAAACTGTTTTTGTGCTCTTGCAATTCTTTGCTCTTCTTTAGCCTTTGCAGTTTTGTCAAGTGCATATTATTGTAAATTTGTTTTGAGGGTTTAAAGCAAAATGGATTCAAGTTTCATTATCTGTTTGAATTTTAGACAAACGTGGATAAGTACTATTTTTGATTTTTTTAGAAATAATTCTTTAGATATTCCTACACGCTGTCGTTTTCACTCATTTTTTTAAATATAGGGTGACCTTTGAGTATTGAACTTTTTACTATCAAATGTTTCTTTAAAACAGTGTGAACTACCTCCAAAATGATGTTTATCAATTTTGCTATGTGTCTTAAAGTCAATAAAACATAATCAGTGATAATTTGTTGAATTTTCGCAAATATACATTGGTTGTTGTATGTCTTTGTTGCCTAGGAGGGTACCCATTTTTGACGCTTATCATATAAATTTTGATTGTTGAAATTTTGGGATATTAACAAGTTTTACAGCTGCTTCTTGACCATTCATTTTTAATGCAGTATCTCAAATAGCTCTTATTTCCCAGCTTCCAACAATGAAAAAATGCGATGAAAAGTGGTCACAAAAACTGTTATCAATTTATTAAAGATTCAATAATGAGGGAAAGTCAAGCTTAATGTCATATGATTTCTATGTTGTATGTTATCGAGCTAATGACATTATTTATTGAACGTCCCTCGTACTTGACCTAATTGTAATTATTGTCAGTCTGTCTTTGTCCAACACTAGACACATATTTGTTAAGCCTTATTTTTAACAAATAGCATTTTTAAAAATGTAATTAGATATCGGTGTTGGTATAATTTGTTGAAAAGAGATGGAACATGTTGAAGAATAGAACTGTTCACTGTTGCATATGATTTGAACAATCTTGATTCAACAAAACCTAAGGCTGCTTCAGGATAAATATGATTAATAAAGGCTTAGTTCTTCTTGAGGAGATTTTAAAGATATTTTCTATGTACAAGCCTTTCTTAATAGAAGAGAATTTACTAAGACGAACTTTCAAAAATGTAATTAACTAAGCAGTAATTAATTAAGAAAGATTGCAGTGAAGTCTATGGGGACAAGCAATTTTTAAAACTAAAATTCAAAATAAAGGAATATCAATACTGTGGTGGGAAGATTCATAAAAACATTAAAAATAAAATAACAATTAAAAACATTTTTTAATCAGATATTAAGTTAAAATTGATTAAACAGAGGGAGACAACCCTTACCAAAATTCAAGGCGATTACTAACAACACATCCCACCCATACATGCTAACAATAATATGAGAAAATGGGAATGATGTCTAAAGAAACTGAATACTATACACCTTCACATCTGTTATGTATTTCATTGAATCTGTTTCTGTTTGGGATGGAATATCTAACTACTTTATTTCTGATTCAGCATCCACTTTCTTCAGCTAGCTTCTGAATGATTACTTTTACAAAACGGTGCATAATGAAGTAAGTTGTAAAGAGTTAGATAAAAAACATCAATAAACTTTACAAAGTTATATTGTCGTTTATGATTTCAGCATACATGTAAATGTTGCCATTGTAACTTTTTAGGTCACCTGAGTCACTCAGGTGACCTATTGCCATCCGTGTTTGTCCGTCGTCGTCCGTCGTCCGTCGTGTGTTAACATTTGAACATTTTCAGCTTCTTCTCTGAAAGCACTGAACCAATTTCAACCAAATTTTGTATACAGCATTTATGGGTAAAGGGGAACATAAATTGTGAATTTCATGGTCCCCGCCCCCCTGTGGCCTGAGGGGTGGGGCCAAAACCACGTAAAATTAATGCAATCTTTAAAAATCTTCTTCTTTACTCCTGGACGTCAAGCAGTCAAACTGTTTGCATGATTGTAATCAGCAATGAGTCCTCTACCAAAATTGTGAAATTCATGGCCCTGGGGTCAGGGGTTCTAGTGCTAGGGCGGGGCTAAATAATTAGGTAGTGAAAATGCATTATTTCTTTGAAAATCTTCTTCTCTGCTCCTGGGTATTAAATAAACCAATTAAGTACATAGTTATGATGAGCAAGAGTGCCTCTTCCAAAATTGTGAATTTTATGGCCCCAGGGTCAGAGGTTCTGGTGTTAGGGCGGGGCTCTATTGATTATATAGTGAAAATACATGAATTCTTTGAAAATCTTCTTCTCTGCTCCTGGGTATTAAATAAACTAACTAAGTACATAGTTATGATGAGCAAGAGTGCCTCTACCAAAATTGTGAATTTTATGGCCCCAGGGTCAGGGGTTCTTTTTTTAGGGTGGGGCTCTAATGATTATATAGTGAAATGCATGAATTCTTTTAACATCTTATCCTTTGCTCCTGGTTAATATGCTAATGATCAAATTATATATTTAAGGCCAGGATTTATTTTATTTTCAGTTTTATAAACCCTCCGCTCAAGGTTTAGAATTTTCAGAAAATAATAAAACAATTTTTTCTTTCTGATGTCAAATTTGAGTCGGGATCGAAATTTCAAATTTACGAATTTGCACTTCCGCTTTTATGATGAAACCGCGGGTAAATAAAGCTAGGTGACAGGTCTGAGAAGATAGCTTGGTTTAGTGTAAAATTCATCGATAAGAGTGCCATTCAAAACGTTTCACCCGTTCAAAGGACAAATAAAATGCTGACGACTTTGTTGCACAATGACATGCTGGTGAGATAATTATGTATTCGTTTCAAAAGTATCTGTCTGTAAATTATTTTCCTCCCCCGGGTTTTAAACTGCCCGTGGTAGCTATTGCATATTGCCAGCTACAGTGTTTAGGTCTTTGTTGTAGCTTACAGTATCATTCTTCAGAAAAGGGTTGCTTATGCATCAGATGTAATGAATAAAACTATGGGAGAAGTTAAGTCCATTTGAGGAAGAAATAAACAATAACCTGAAGAAATAAAAAAAAATTTAACAATTAAAAGGCAAGAATATACAAATATATACAGGCATTTAGTATCATTTGTATCAGCCAGAAAAATTATTTCACACTTAATTGAAAAAATGTTCACCCTACTCCCCAATACTCCCTGTCTGTTTTATGATAGGAATTATAATTTTAGGCATCAAATAAATTTTAGAACAATGTCTACACATTCACCTAACACATATTAAAAGAATGAAGATATATTGAAAGACTTTTAAAGAATTGATTTTTTAAAATATATTTTGATCAACATCACAAAATTTATATAACTGGCCCAAAATGGCAGATGATGAAATAAGCAATTAAATGTTCTACTTTCCTATTTGAAAGCATTATGTGTCCAGTGGTAAGGAGCCTATTAGGATAGCATAAAAAAAGAATGTACAAATGTTAATAATTGATTTATCAAAAAAAAATTTTATTTCCTTCTCCTTCGGGACTTTTTAATTCTCATGTTCATAACTAAACCTAAACATAAAAAAATTCTGGCCTTATAATGAAGAAAGGGGCCTCTTTCAAAATAGATAATTTCAGGGCTGCTGGGTCAGGGGTACCAGGGGGTACTTTGACTAAAAATAAATTAATGCTTTGAAATCTGCCCATTGATAAGCAATGGTGCCTCTTTCAAAATTTGTGAATTTCATGGTTTTTGGATTAAAACACGAATCAAATACAATCGCTGGAAAGTTGTTACATGATACTCAGGTGACCTATAAGGCCCGTGGGCCTCTTGTTTTTATTATGTCATACCGATGCAAATCAAGTACCATAATGCAATTTTTGTTCAGATTAATTCTCTCACACTTTCACACATCCTCTTCAGATTTTAATTAATAATGAAAAAAGAATATTATTATCAAAATTGTTTTTTTTTCTGCACAAAACTCTTTGAATTGATCAAAATAAATTTCATTTATTATAGTTTTCCTAGTGAATGAATGTTTGAATGATTGAATAAATGAATGAATGTATTCATAATCAGCCTGTCTATCATAATGATATCAACATTTTATTTAACTTACCGCCTATGTCAACAATCATATATTTGGTGCCTTCCTTTGTCATGCCAAAACCTTCTGGGTTCCTTTCGATGGGAAGAAATTGGCAATATATAGATGCTGCTTCTGGTTCCAGAGCAATTCTTAACATTTTGTCCGGAATCCCTGCCTGTCCAAGATTATTTTAATGCATTAAAAATAGCTATTTGAGAGAAAAAAATGACATTAAATGAATTTTACAGGCACCTACTTTTATTGCACACTGACGCATATATTCTTTAGCAGCATCACCCCATATGGCAGGAACTGTCAAGACCCATCTCAGATCTTTTTCGCTCAATTCAATATTAAGGATCTTCTTTTTTATGTTTTCCTTAAAATGATGTACCAATGCCTTTATTGAGAGAGTAAATACATGTTTTGCTGGGTATCCTTTCCCCGTAACATCCTCAACATATAAGTTGTCACTAATTCCCTAGAATGAAAGTATTGCAAAGATATACATTTCATGAGCCTCTGATACTTATCCGGAGTTTAGGATAAAACCTTTTTTTAGTATAGTATACACTTATCCAATGGCTATGAGTGGGATATTCTTTTAAGAATATAAACCCCATGTAACCCTATATATCTGTGATGACGGAAGCATTTATCATTGATTTCATATTGTCAAACTAATACTTATTTCCAAAACTATACATATTTGAAATTCAGACATATGTTTGTTCTCAATTGATAATCTCGACATCTGGTTAACATAAATTATTTATTCTTTCTTTTGTTTTAAAATCTTTTTTTTTTTAATTTATGCTAATTCCTCACTCCCTTTGCATTCCGACTCAAAAGATTATACTCTTTGATCTAGCATCCTGATATAAAATATATATTAAAAAAACTATGTGTGTAATTTCCACTAATATCTATTTGTTTGTGCTTGAATGAAAAGGATTTATTCCTTTTAGTCGGGAAATAAGACATGTGTGTGAAACAAAAATGCCAACGTATATTAGATATAAAAAAAGCTCTAATTTACGGCGAAGGTTAAATGTTTTTCATATATATATATATATATATATATATATATATATATATATATATATATATATATATATATATATATATATATATATAGTGTAGGGCAGCGTTGTGAGAATTCCATCGGCATCGAAAGCAAGTTTTTTAACTTGCCTAGATAGCCGAGCGGTCTAACGCGCTGTTCCTGTACTGCTAGGAGACAGATTCCGTAGGTCGAGAGTTCAACCCCGGGCTGGGGCGGAAGTGAGTATCCTTGTAAAAGTGAATTTCTCTGTGCTTTCTATATTAATATTCCTTCACTTAGGGCAGTTATATTAGTTTAAGAGTTGTTGTAATTTGTGCTGTATAAATAAAATTAATTTCATCACAACATGTATTGGTAACAATCCTCTAAAAACTAATGTGCAAATAACTGTATCTCACTTCCATTCTCAATGACCGTGTAGTGTAGGGCAGCGTTGTGAGAATTCCATCGGCATCGGAAGTTTTTTAACTTGCCTAGATAGCCGAGCGGTCTAACGCGCTGTTCCTGTACTGCTAGGAGACAGATTCCGTAGGTCGAGAGTTCAACCCCGGGCTGGGGCGGAAGTGAGTATCCTTGTAAAAGTGAATTTCTCTGTGCTTTCTATATATATATATATATATATATATATATATATATATATATATACATGTAGATAAACAGACTCTGAGGTCAATAAATCTTAAATACTGATACATAATTTATAAACATGTACATGTACTTGAATGTAAAGAAAGGTCAATGTCACTAATAAGAATACGCCCATCGCCATGAAAGCCAAGATTATTATTTTTCTCAAAAGTAGATAGAGTCACATGGAAAACTCCAAACTTAAGGTCCTGACATAAAGATTATTGGCACTTACTAAGGATGTCAAGGAATATTCGAATATTCATTCGGTGAGTTGATATTCAAATATGAACTTGAGTTTAACAGCTCTAGCTCCAACCATTAAGAAAATTATTGAAAGATGAATCTTTATATAAAATTGCAAAAGTAGCCCAAACTCCATTATTAAGGTATTATATTAGTCTAAAGAATGTTTTACCGTCAAAAAAGAAAAAAAACCCTACCCTCTTGTTATGTAATTTCATTTTGAATCTCCTGAACATCATAAAGTTTCCACGCTGATCTTTTGCAATCTCTGAATAAAATCTATCTTCTGCTTTATAACCAAATGCGACGAAATTGCCATCTTTGTCAATAAGAAGAGATGTGGGAGTTTTGAGGGATATTAAAGATGTTCCACCCGCAACCCAGTCCTGATTACTATGAATATCCAAAGGATTTCGGCGAAACTGATCTCTAGAACTGAATGCATAACCCGAATATGTTGTTCCAAAATCCAAAGCGACAACAAAAAGATAGTTCTGATCAGTAATGATAGATTCCAAGGTATGTTTAACTTCTTCTTCGCTATTTGGCATGGTAGGATCTTCCGTGTCAGGGGGCAAACTTTCTGCCATACTGAATAAAAACAATCAGACATTAATGAATAGTGAAGTACATAATGATATTGAATGTTGAACTACGTATTCTCCTAAACTGTTTCTGGTCACCGAGTTTCTAATACCGAGTCTCTGCTCTATCTGTCCGAATTTTCTCAAGCTGAGAGCTACAGTTCTGCAGCTAGAAAAAACGACAGTCGGTATTAAACTATTTGTTGACAAGGTCAGTGTATCCACCATAGAATTTCGAAACGTTTTAACTATGAGTGCGACTTTTGAAATGTATTGCTTTATTCACTTCTTTGTAAATAGCTTGTCTCATCTTAAAATATCGTATGTATGCTCTATCTATCTTATCAGTTGGCAAACATAAACCCATCTGCCGGTATTCGAGGTATGTTGCTACATAAGTAAGGAAAGATGACGATGAAAAAGTTAAAAAAAGTCATCATGTTAACCATAAAGATTTGTTGTTAAGTTACTATAAGTAACATCTTGTTCTTATAAATCATCCTGTGACACACAAGCGTCAAACTCTGTTGCATCTTTTACTTAGAACTCAAAGGAATACAAAATCAAAGGATGACTCAAAATGAAAATTGTTAATTGATAAAATGTCGTCGATATACATGTACGAGTATCTAAATTATAGACACTATCTTAGCACGCTTTCCATTAATGTTGCCTTCCCGGCGACGGAAACGGTGACGTTATAGTGGAAAGGTTGGAATGCCTTCTTTTTCATATGACTAATTATGGGTTTCATGTACTTGAGAGATATTTAACGTGTTGTCCCATGTCTACCCGGTTTATTCCCCGAACGTCTATACTACCTTATATAAACATTGTAATTATCGAACTCAATTAAGAGGACAAGAGTAACGCAGATGATGGTGTAATTAATGAATTTTTTATTAAATGTAAAGAAGTTATGATTCCTATGCTATGTAAATTATTTAACAATATTTTTGATTCTGGAACACTGTGTGTATCCAGATAGCTGGTCAAAGGGATGTATTGTACCAATTTTCAAAAAGGGCGAATTACATGACCCAAATAATTACAGAGGCATAACTTTGGTTAGCTGTCTAGCGAAACTATTTACGTGTATTTTGAATAATAGATTGTTAGAATGGGACCAAAAATATAATATTAATACAGACGCTCAATTTGGTTTTAAGCCAGGTGCAAGTACAATTGACGCTATTTTTATTTTACAAAGTTTAATTAACAAGAGATTGAGAAACAAAAAGAGATTATATTGTTGCTTTGTAGATTATTCAAAAGCTTTTGATTTAATTGACAAATCTAAGTTATGGTACAAGATACAAACAGAGGGTATACAAGGAAAAATGTTATGTATTATTAAGTCGTTATATAAGAATGTTAGAGCCTGTATAAAACACCAAGGTACGTTGACTGACACATTTCGTATATCTTCGGGTGTTTTGCAGGGGGAAATATTATCGCCTGTATTATTTTCCATGCATCTAAATGATTTTGAACGACATTTTATTGAAAATAATTGTGCTTCAGTTGAACTTCAAATGATTAATTTGTTTCTAATAATGTACGCAGATGATACAGTTTTAATAGCGGAATCAGTTGAAAGTTTACAAGAAATGTTAAACACTCTGTATAGCTATACAAAAGAATGGAATTTAACTGTAAATGTACAAAAAACGAAAATTGTAGTTTTTAGAAATGGAAAGTATGTAAGAAATGAAGAGAAATGGACATATAATGGTAAAAATGTGGAAGTTGTAAATCAATTCAATTATTTAGGATTATCATTTAACTATAATGGTAAATTCTTATCTACACAGAAGCACTGTGCAACACAAGGTAACAAGGCATTGTTTAGTATTTATAGTAAGATGAAAGATTTAAATTTCAATGCTGAGACTCAGATCAATGTTTTTGATACTTATGTTAAAAGTGTGTTATGCTATGGAGCTGAACGAGCCATAGCGCATTTGATAGTCACTTTCGCCTACTCTAGTAGTGATTTTTTAAATATTTGTGTAACAAAAATTTTGTCATACATTCTTAGTATATACATGCCTTAAAGCAACTCACACAAAAATAATACTCAATTATTAATAGTTGCTTCATATGATATTTATAAAAATCATTCAGTCTATACGGAGAATATAGTAAATACTGAGGTACCCCCCTAAACAATGACAAACTGTAGGAAAAGACAACCCTTAACCAGAAAAACAACTTCTGAATGATTTTATTAGGATATGACTGCACTTCATTACGCTTAGATAATTTTGGTTAAAGGTGGTCTTCATACTGAAAATGTTGAAAATATGTATTTAATTTTTCTTCTAAAATTATTTCAAAATTCAACAATCTGTCTTAATTTTATCCATATGATAACCAAGACTTCGTGGCATAGTGGTATGATTGCTGGATTGAAGATATAATGATCGTGAGTTCGAGTCTCATAGTGCGTATACTACGATTTTTTTTATCGTGTGCATTTTCCTATGTTTTCTTTTATTATTTTATAATACATGTATAAATAATTTTTGAAAGAGATATATAGTGCAACATTACACATTGAATGTATCTTGGGGAAAAACATGTGCAGTCTTAAACTATGTTTATGATCCAATGATCCAAAGTCATAGCTGCTAGCCTGTTTTATTTTTAAAATATTAAAACAATCTTGTTTAGAATAAGAGTATTGGACAAGTAAAATTACTGTCATGCAACAAACTTGCAACTATGAAAATATAACACTGGTTCACAAATGATTACATACATGTGGATTGATTTTGATTTGAAAAGGTACATGCATCTATAAATAGAAACAGGTGATTTCCTTTTAAATACTTGTGTAGGCCGAGTCGTCGGTAAGGCAGCTATGGCTCTTTGTATCATTAAATGGGCTTTTGAGCTTGGTTTTCATAAAGGTCCAGATGTTGAAAGAGTACATATGAATTTTTGTAAAAGAATACTTGGTGTGAGAAAAAATACCTGTAATAGTGCTGTTTATTATGAGTTAGGTAGAATACCACTAGATATATACAGAAAGCGCAGAATATTAAAATATTGGTTAAAATTAAGAAAAAGTAATAATTGTATTTTGAGTGCATGTTATCAAGATATGGTAGAGAATAAAGATCCCTGGGTTATGAGTATAAAAAATGAAATGTACACTCTAGGTTTAGCTGACTTGTTTCATAGTAATCAAAAAGATAGCATTTTATTAGACATAACATACAATAGAATGTGTGACGTTTTTAAACAGAAGGCGATATCTGATATATGTAAGTCACCAAAATGTATGTTATATAAGCATTTAGTTGATTATTTTTGTTTACAAGGTTATTTAAAGAAACCCATCCATGTAAAATATAGAAAAGCAATTTCATGTCTTAGACTTTCAGCACATAATTTAAAGATTGAAACTGGAAGATACGAGAACTTAATAAGGAGTGATAGGAAATGTGTTCTGTGTAATTTAAATGATATTGAAGACGAATTTCATTTTTTATTCATTTGTCCAGTTTTTCACGATTTAAAAAACAAGTTCATCAAACATTACTACTCCCGAAGACCAAGTGTCTTCAAGTTAATACAATTATTCTGTAGTACAAATACCAAAGATGTAAATCAGTTAGGGAAATATATATATCATGCTAATAAATTACGAATGGAATGTTTAAATCAATTAGCTATATAATAAAATGTATTTAAAACATTTTTGTGACGTCAACTTTTGTTAAACCTGGTTCAATAAATTTGTTATTGTCATGCACCCCGTCCAATAAGTTACCTGTAGGAGTCCAATAAGATTCAACTTATTGGACAGGTACAGGTAACGTTAAAATGAGAACAAAGGGCGAGGCAAATAAGTAAACACAACTTAAAAGGCAATGACAAATTAAACAATTTAATATGAACAATGTAGGAAATTAGTAGCGTTAAATGTTAATATTTCACAAAAAATCCTTTGAAAATGGCACAGATAATCCAGTGAATTGAATGTCTCAGATACATTATTGTAAACGCATACGTGGCTCCGATCATAAATTTCCTAAATTAACCGTTCATTACTATATAATAGATTCATTTCACAATGATTGATCCACGGAACATATAAAGAATCCAACGGACACAAAAGATGAATGAGAAGCATGTATTTTCTTACGCACAACCTTTGGCTTTTTGTGTATTGAAATATCCATTTTTCCGCATTTAGCACAAAATTTAGCTCACGAAATTCCAACGGAATCTGTAATTTCGTCCGGTGATTTATGATCATTTGTCCAACTAGTCCTGCGTCGTTTAAGCGAGTATCTGTCGTTTTAAGGAGTGGCTGGAGTAAAATACTTCCGAGTTCGAAACCTGCTCACAAAAGAGAATTGTATTTTTAAAAAATACATCAGGAATAATCTCCCAATTTCAAAGAAAATGCTTAAACAGTTGTTTGAGTAAAATCCTTCAAATCCTATTGCTTTACAAAAATTACCTTTTAACGGGAACTGTTTCTTGCAAATTCCGAAACATAAGAATATATATCCGGATTACACAGTAAAAACCTGAACTAAATTCAGGCATCTTGGTGTAATCGATAAATGGCATCGTCAAAACACCCGATTCTGAGGGTCTTTTTTCAAAATTAAAATGTACGTCTTCTTCCGTGGTCGTTGCGTTGTAAAATGAATAAATTGTAAAGAATTTAGTAGAACTGACTTTTACGCATGCGTAGTATATATAAAAAATGTCGCAATGCGGATAAATAAGACTTAACAAAGTTAATGTTCATATTTATCGATATAAAACACCTCTCGATGATTCCAACTATTAATAAAGGCAGAATAAAAACCAAAACTCGTTTTCTTTGGCCTAACTTGATGAACAGTGCCAGGTAGTCATCCAAGCAGAACGAGACCTTACCTGTGGCTGTCCAATAAGTTAACAATAGACGTGTTCGACAGTGGTGAAATGTTTTAAGTAAGTTATAAGCCTCAAACTGACCATTATGTCAGATATTA